TGTGGGAGCTCCCACCCTCTGGAATGAACTGCCCCCAGAGATCAGGGTTATCCCTGATCTCCCTTCCTTTCGCCGCGCCCTCAAGACTTGGTTATTCCAGCTTGCAGGACTGGCCTAGGGTAATTTTTAGGGGGGTTTTAATTATATTTTAAAATTCGACAAATATTTAAATATTCCTTTTAATTAATTTTAAATTTGTGTTGTTTTGTATGTATTTTAAATAGATTGTCAGCCGCCCTGAGTCCTACGGGAGAAGGGCGGGATATAAATCCAAAAAATAAATAAAATAAATAAATAAATTTAGGCATGGGAGACTTGCAGAGCAGTGTCTCTGTCTCAAACAGCCCTTAACAGTTCATTACAAAAAAAAAAAGGATACACTGCTCACATATTTAGGGTGAGAAATACAAGCAGGGTCTTTGTATATAACCATTGCCTTTGAAAGATGGAAGGGTGTGAGACTCTCAAAGAGGTTTGGGAAGAAACACCTTAGTGAGAAAAGTGCACTTTTTAGGAGTTCTTCCTTTGGAAGCTGAGAGATTGTATCATATGTCTTGCAGTGACCAGAAATACAGGATTGGTGGCATGATGAGAAGGGGAGAAAAGGGGAAGCATCAACAGCTTTTCTCAGACCAACATAAAGCAGTTCTGAGCTAAGGAGAATGTTGGCAGAGGATCAAGAGCATTTGAAGTAACAACAAACCATCTCCTGTGGTCTTTCTGGAAGATGTGGAGCTGGGATTTGTGGTACTTTCAGTTAAGTTGATAGAAATCTGAGCTTTGTTAACACTGACAAGATGATCCTTTGGAAAGGATCACATAAGGAAGTAACCATATGGCTCCTCCTGATCTTTCCCCAACCCTGATCCCAAAAATCCTGCTGTGATCCAGCCCATTCAATCTGTCAAACTGTTTTATAAAACATCATCTTCCATTTGAAGATGCACTTTATATTGCTTCAACGTCTAATGCACCCATGCTCCTTGGTGCATCAATGCTATTAGCTTAAACAGGAATAGCAGTAAGAGCCATCTTATAATAAAATAATAATAATAATAAAACACCTCCCCCCAATCTATTGAGCTAGCTCTTTATTTTTCAGTTGAAGTTTTATAGTATTCTTGCAAGCTTGAAACGATTGGAAAGATTTATGATATCCAGCCAGATTTATAAGTTTCTCAGAACGATTGTGTTAGACACAGCTTGAAATCCAGTCATATCCATATTTCCCTTCTATGTGATTGGTTTCATTACTCAAACACACACAAACAGTTTTGTGCTTCCACACAATTATGTGTAAAGGCTGCTTGGAGTATCATATCCAGCCAGCCTATGGAAAAGAACCCAAAATAGGAAGCAGTCAACCTCCTATTCCTACTCTTCATTTTTCTGAGTTATCTATTTATGAGGAGGAAATAAAAAAAAATGAAAAAGCCAGTCAGCCACTGTTGGGGAAATGACAAAATAATCCCTTTATTTAGTGGTGAACGTCTGGAGGATGAACCACAGAAGTGGAGAAAAAAGTGGAGTTCCTGCCAACAAAAAGCTATCCTGCCTTGCAAGGGAAATATGACAAACCTATATTCTCAGTGTTTGTTCTTAAGTGGACACTAAGTTTCAGAGTTAATCAAGCCATTGAGTTCTAAAAAGCCTACAGTGTAGTGAGGACAGACAAGAACAGTACTAGCCATCTTTTGATGTAGAAGTATAGTTGAGTTGGACTTTCAGTTTAATCGTTGTCAAAACAGTCCTTCTGTTTATCTTGGAGGACACACACATACCCAAACAACTGAGAAACCTAAAATTATCTTGGTGAAAATCCAGCAGAAGAGGGAGAAGACCTCTTTCTGCTTCCTTCTGGGAAAAGAGAAATACTACACTATCTCCACGGTTGGTATAAGCTCCTTTCCAAGGATACTTGGCTATCCCCTGATGGAGGCTGAATGTTGAACTAAATGGATCTTTGGGATGAATGAACAAAACAATACTACTTTCTTTTTCTCCCTCCCTCCCCATCTCAATCTTTCTCTCATAAGTCAGTGGGAAGACAGCCAATAGAAGATTGGCTCAGGCTTTTAAATTGTGATGTTTGGAAGAAGTACTTTCTGACTAGCCATTTCATAATTGCAGAAATCCCCATATTCACAAAAGGAACTCCAGGGAAAATTCATGAGTTGGCTTCTAATGACCTGATTAAGTAACTCTCAAAGCTCTGATTTAATATTTGTCCCATTAAAGTCCTGGGGAGAGAATTCCAGCCAAACGCCCCCCCCCCTTGCAAAAAGAGAGACTAGTGTAACTCAAGCTTGTATACCTGATTGGTTGCACTCTGTAAAGTAGGAGAATTGGAGCTGCAGAAAGCCCACCAACAGAGAACCATAAATTATTCATCAGCAGCCATTTTATGTAGACAAGTTACAATTGGAGCAATGCAACAAGCATCCATTTCATCAAGCAAATATGTAAGTCCTTCAGACTGCAGTCAACTAATGACACATATATATTTCTCAGTGAAATAGCAATGGCCTTGGTGGTGCACTGTTGAGGCAAAGCTCAAAGAATTTTCACTCTTCAAGAAGCCACACTGTCTAGTTCACTGAACTGTAGAAGAAGCTAATGCCAGCCTTATCAGATAGGAGACCTGGTCAGATAAGATAATGCTACTTTATTATAAAGCTACATTAACAGAATGTTGCAAGCACAATTCTCTCACTGTCACCTTTACAGTCCAAGAACTTAGGGAGAGTCTCTTCTGAACCTCTTGCTCCACCCACTATGCAACCATGGGCTGTGCTACCTCTTATCCTATTGTTCTCTCAGCATTGTCTCTTCTTTCTGTCTCCCAAAGTCATTCCCACCTATCATTACTGTTGTTTTGGTGGTTTTGAAAGTAAAAAAGTGAAAGTGAAAACTCTGTGTTAATTTTAAATAGCTAAAAGATATTGTTGACCAATGTGTTTACTGAACCTACAGTTCACAACAAAGAAGTTAAGATGGTACATCATTTTGTTTCTTAGGCTCAAGAATAGATAGATGAGCCACATACTGGAAAAATAAAGAGAAATATTAATGACAATTTTAGATAGCATTACAAAAGGTTAAAGATATACGACAGCCGGGATCAGAATAGTTAAGCACAGGTTTTCTTAGTGGTATTTACATAGCTGTGAAAGACAGGCATTGAGAAAAAAAGATTGACACTTTAGTATTATGGATCTGGAGGTACAGTAGTTATACTAAGAGTATAACTACCTTGAAGTGATGATACAGAAACAGAAACTTAAAAACACTGGTCACCTGATATGAATGAACTTTGAAAATGAACTAGAAAAATCTTGGAGCTACGGTGTTTGGGAACCATATGCAGGTTGTGACCTTAAACTTGGATACAGAACTCAAGCTGATGGTGCTGAAGCTGATGCACTGATGTTATTATTGTTTCTTCTTTTGCTGCCCATCTTGCTTTGAATCAACTCTGGGCAGCTTACAACATTAAATGTTAACTAGTTTACCAATGAAATGTCTGCAAGAAAACAACCAAGCTCAGAGAGCACCAAAGTGGCCACAGTTCAAACTTTACTCAACAAGAGGTTAAGACTGACCTTCTAGATTGCATGGAGGGAATGTTCTCAAAGGACTGAGCCCCAGCTAGAGGAAGTGGGTGGTGGAAAGAGATGACATGAGGTTGGATAAAATGGTCAATTTGGATAGGGGATTTTAGGAGGATGAAGACAAGTTAGGGGACAAGTTAGAAAAGCTATCAATCAAGTAGCCAGATCATCACTAAGGGGAGTGGATATAATGTAGTATCAGATAGCCCAGGCTTGGCAGAAGCCAAAGAGGCCATAAGAGGTTGAGGGAGGAATAGGGACAGGAAAATGACATAATGGGCTTTAGGTTGGCCATTTCAGAGGAAGAGGGAATTTACTGTCCCACTGTCCCTTTTCCTGTCCTAATGCCTCATTCTGTGATCCTGGATGCTGAATTGTTGGCACCCTTAGCGTCAGACTGATCCCACCAAACACCAGCTCCATCTGCTCTCTTCCATGACTTAACTGGTGTATGTGGAGGGACGTAGATCTGGAATATATTATTGAGACCTGCCTGGTTAAGGAAGAGTTTCCTTGTAAACAATTTGTCTGACAAAGATTTAGAGAGGCTAGAGAGGTGGTTGGTCTTCCAGGAAACTTGAGTAATAACCAAGTAACCCTGCACTGCAAGTAAGTTTTTGCATTTGAAGCTGAGTATTCGATCTAGCCCACAGTGCTTCTGGTTTTCAGGAAAATGTAAAATAAAAAACAAAAATCAGAGTATAGGGCTAAAAATTCAGGGGAAGAGTAGAGGTTGTTGAAAGAAAGATCTAAAGTGCACCCCATCCCCCTCAGCTTGATGATAAATCTTGATAGGTAAGATTACAAGTTCACTCCTAACCACTTCCAAATAAGGTTGGCAAAGATTCCTGTCTGAAACCCTAGGGAGATGTAGCTAATCAGGAAACTTGGAACATAAGTCAAACAGTATGTTTTGCTACAAATCTGCTTCCTATGATTTATATTATATCTTAAGTGCAACTGTATCTGACTTACAAAATTTGGACAATCTTTCTTGCTCAAGCACCGCATTCCTTCACAGGCATACACTGGGAAGCAGCCTATTGGCTGGGATCGGAGGCAAAAGTCAGCAGTGATTCCCAACACTGTCCAATGGATCCACTGATATTCTGGAATAAGCTCCTAGCATCTTAGTTGCAAATCACTTGTAGAGTGCTATTCGCACCTGCCAATTCCTGAACCATGGCAAATGATTAAACAAAAGTACAGCCAAGAAAGTGCACAAAACCAAATTATAAATTACCCTTTTTATTGAATATCAATAAATTGTATATAATTATATATAAAAAGTATTTTTTTTAAATTCAGTATAAAATTGTGGCACAAAAATATATAAATACCAGTGTACCTTTGAAATGTAAACATACCCTTTTTGTTTTTCATCTTTTGTTGTTGTTGATGATGTGGAAACAATGTACAAAAGAAATGCATTCAGGAGGCACCTGTCAATAACCTTAAGTAGCTCTTTTGGCACACACCTGTCAATGGGGCAGCCTTCCCTGCCCAGGCGGCTATTGAATCGCCTGACAAGTGCCTGCTATTAGTCACAGTTCTTTTGAAAAAAGCAGTTGTTAAAAGAAGTCATATTAACAGGTGCTTGAGTGCATAGCTGCTCTTGTAAACAGGAGCCTTGCTTTGAATGGCTACCCAGTGCCTTCTGCAGACATAAGTCTTTGAAGCATTGCGGAATTATCCCTCTGCTGACCCAGAACTAATGAAATACTGTATCCCTGCATAGCTGCCCTAAGGAGGGTCCAGACACAATACGAGGAGCAATGGAGTTTGAGGTGATGGGGGGGGAGGCGTTAACACTTAAGCTTTTTGCCCTTTGTTTAGAGGCATATCAATTCAGGGTCATGAGCTACTGTGGATCTTTTATTCTGGTCATCTTCTTTTTAAGGATAAAAATGAAAAGACTGATCTTTCAGGCAAGGTAGGCAAAATATTTTTCCCATTTGTAAAACGGTAGTGAATGCTATTTAGATGGCTTTGAAGGAGCTGGGAAAAAGTCTGAAGGGAGAAGACTCAATGGCTATTAGATATGAAAGCCGGTATGGATTTCCATTATTGGTGGCGGTAAACTCTCTTGAGTATCAGATGCGGTGGGGGGGGAGGGGGCAGGAGAAAGAGGTAATCATTATCCCTATAATCTGCCTACAAGGATGTATCTGAACCCAGTTGAGGAGCAGCTCAACAAGATGTTTTTAGCTACATGTCAGTTTTTGGAGACGCTGTTCCCGTATTGGTACCACCCTGCACAGTGTGGGCTCTAACATACTGAATTCCCTGACAAAAATTCCATTTCTAAAAATTCTGGGGACATTTGTCCGAGCCATCTGGAGGGCACCAGCTTTTAGAAGCTCATTTTAAAAAAAAACATCCCATGTTGTTTGGCAACCCATCATTTCTGATGAAGCAATGGTCTTCCATGGGCTTGAATCAAGAAGCATTTTGCCACTTTTAGGGCCAGGGAATGGAATACAAAGGCAAATCAGGTTTGAAAAATTCTCTGGAAGACAAAGAGTGAAAGAAGCATTGTGTATGATGCTTTAAGGCCTGAAAGCAGCTGGAAACAACCAGATTTCAATATAAGCTGTTTGTGGCAGCTCAGCAGAACTATTTTCCTAGGGACACTAGTTACAATACATGGCTTTGCACGGAGGAGTCCATGGTATTCAACGGGTTCCAATGCAGCCTGTTTCTTCATGTTTGTGGAGAAGTGACATGCGAGAGAAAGTCCGGGAGCAAGTTTTACACTGATACTTCTTAACATCTGAATGAGTCTGCAGATGAGCACGGAGATTGGAGCGATCAGCAAAGGCCCGGCTACAGTGCGTGCAGGAAAATGGCTTTTCCCCTAGAAAGATAAAAGAATAAAAAGGATCATCAGCCTGAATCTTGACAAAACATGTGACAGAAGTCAAAAATCACTTCCTGGCCCTTTATATATGTCACATTCCTGATCTTTCAGTACTACAAGTAAAATCCAAGCATTCAACCCAGGTTTAAGCAAATTTCTAGAACACAATTCATAGTTAGGAAATAAATTCTGCTTGAATCACCAAATACATAAATGGTTTTGTATTCAAGACATTAGCCCAGGTTTAAATCTGACACGTGCCAGATTCTAAAATAAAGATATTAAAAACCAAGTCTCTTTATTTCAAAGGACAAAAAGCAGGGCCTGAACTTTGAAGCTGGATTGTGCTTATTGTGTCCTCAAAAAGCTAAGCAAAGTAGTCTGTTCTTGGGTGGGAGACCACCAAGTAATACATATACTAGGTTGCAGGTTAAGCCCCCCTTTCCCAATTTTTGCCAAAATAATATATCCAAGTTGTCAACAAAAATCCACCTGGAATCAGGAAGATTTTACTTTTATTCTAATGGAGCTTGGTTCAAGTGAGTGTGTAGGGAACTCCAAGATCCTACACATATTATCTGGAGAATAACATCCTTAGATACCAAAGGTGCTTACTTTAAAAATACATGTATTGCACTGGTCTACATACCGTACATTGACAAAGAGCTCCCAGCATTGGTACAAAATGCCCTCTTCTGCCAACTTAGTGCAGCAAAACCTGAAACATTAATTGCATCCCCATTCCAATATAACTATATCCTTTTCAGAGTTTCCTCCTCCTTTCCTTCCTCTCCCTCCCCCTCCTTCAAGCCTCAACCACTAAAGCCGGGTTGAATTCCTGACCGGAGAAAATTCTTCTGGAGCTCACCAACAGGCTGCTCTCCATTTGGAAAGCACAATTAAGTCTTTCTGGCTTCCTTCAGGCAGTCATCTTTAGGACTTTTAAAAGGGTGTGAAATCAGCACTAAGTAACAATTAAAGGATCCTGCCCCCTCCACCCGCCCAACACAAAAGCTGCTTGGGGGGAAAAAAGCATTGTAAATGCGATACTCCTTGGATTAAACACTCAAAAAGCCACAGCTGTGGAATCTGGTGCCGAGCCTGGGGCGTTACAGTAACAGGTGCAGGAAGGGAAGAGCAAACCCAGCTCCCTAAGAGCACCTGCCAAGGCAGCTCCTGGCTTCCAAAAGCCCTTCCCCACCATTTCCACGGTCCCATTAGGCAAACAATGCTGGAATGAAGCATCTCCCAACACCAACTTTTTGTGCCCAGAAGGCAGCACATCCTGCTTGCACCAGGGAAGGCGTCAGATATCAGAGGGAGCTTTCAGGGGCCTTCCATGTAGGAAAAATGAGGAAGTAGGCTGTTCCCCCCCCCTCCCTCCCTGCCTGCAAATGTATGGCCCATGTTTAGCACTATGTTTTATATACCGGAGGTTAGACAAGAAAGAAGAGTGGGGGGGAATAGGAGAGACCTTGAAGAGGGTTGAAATGCAAATATAAGCAAGGGAAATAGAGGAGAGGGTTTGGCACTGGCTGCCCTGCATTAGACTGCAATGCTCACAAGCCCTTTCAGTATAACACACACCCCCCACACACACACACACATTGTGTGTGCTTGGAATGACTCAAGGCTGATTCACATGATGGAGTGCCTGCTGAGCTGGCTTCAGGGCGTCTGTGTCCAAACTAAGTAGGCATGATGATGTGGCTGTGGAATCATTACCCCAGGACCACTCCAAGTCTTATGTAAACTAACAAAACAATGGAAAAAGGGTGGGAGTTGTAACCAGGTAGCTGCTTTAGGAGGGTAGTATTTACAGGAATACCGAATTAACCCAGTGTTCTATGCTTACAGAACATCTAGGACCACCTTCTAATCACATGGCCTGCATTCACACATGCTAGAATGTTGGCTAATTTTTGGATCAATGTGTTGTGCAAAGGCTGTGGCCCGATTAGAAAGACGGGATAAAAAAACCAAGTAATAAAGGTACTGAGAAAAATGCCATTGACTTATAAACAAGTCTAGATTTGCTTACAAAGGTATCCTAGCTTTGCAGGGCACCCTTTATCCATGATTATGTGGACTTACCCTGCATATTAAACTATGAATTAATTGAACTGTTCTATAATGGGGTTGGGCTCAGTGTGTTGTGCAAATATAGCCACTGAATACAAAAAGGGAGTCCAAAATCAATTAAGTCAGAGGTTGGCAAGTATAAGTCCAAACAGGGTGGATTTCAGGCAAATCTGTTTTTAAAAGGTCTTAATTAAAACAGGGTGTTTTGTTTTTTTTTCAGAGAAACTCCATTTGGAGAGCCTTATCTCCTCTGATAAGCCACAGGCAGTGTTGACGTGAATCAGGTTACAAGCAAGGTAGAGAGGACTGGGGCTAGAGAAAAGATAAGAGAGGAAGATAACAAGGACCAGACACACAAACAGAAGAATTCAGATCTTTACCAGTGTGCGTTCTGATGTGGCCCTGCAGGAGCCATGGCCTTGAGAATGCTTTGCCACAGATTTTGCACACGCAGGGCAAGGTATGGCTTCGGATGTGCATCTTGAGAGCCCCCAAGCTCACATATTCCTTTTCACAATATTTACAGCTGAAAGATTTCCTGGTCTGGGAATCACAATGCAACTGTCTGTGCTTGGAAAGGCCAGCAAAAGTGGAGTAGGACTTGCTGCACTGGCTGCAGTGGAATTTCTCGGCTTCCGTGGCAGAGGAGGCTGGGCTGGGCGGGTCAGAGCTGGTCTTGCCATCCTCTTCTTCACTTGACAAGGAGGTCAGGTCCAGGGGTTTGGAATCAGGGCTGGGCGGAGAAGCTGCACTTTTCTGGTACTCCGATTCCGAGGTGAAGAAGTTAGAGAACAGCCCAGTGTCCCAGGCTAGAGGAGGGTAGTAAGAGCCAGCACTCAGGAGATCTGGTTGAGGGATGACAGACAAGGGGTACTTGTCGTACAAAAACGGAGAGATGATCACTGCAAAAGAGACCCAAGGAAATCTATTAGAGAGAAAAATTCCTGCAGAACTGGACACAACCCTACCTCTTTTTTGAGATCGGTTGGCTTTTGGCATGCTCAGGGAGCCCTTGGACAAGTTCTCTGGGCATATGCAAAGGGCCAGAAACATCCTTTCCAGTTGGAATTAGCCACAGAGGGAGGTCCAAAATAGCAAAACCTACAGCACCAGCCCCCTTCTTGGAAGGACCGAAACTTCTCTATAGCTTTAGGCCGGTTGAAACAGCCGTGGCACAAAGGCTGACGGGACTTGGAGTTTTGCATTTCCAAGTCCAAAAACAGCTGGTTTGGAAAGCATTCCATTGCAGAGCTCTTCGGAAGGAAGGCCCGCTGAGCTCAAGGGGATTTATTCCCAATTTACTACTTGTGGGAGCTTGTTCCGCGGTCTTCAAGCCGAGCCCGACTGGATGGCACCTAACTAACCTAAAACCAGGATTACTTCTTCCCTAATTGCTAGCTAGTGTCCGCCGCTCCGCGTCCTCCGCAAGGAGACGATCCACATGTTTCCCTCCCCAAGTTATTAGCGGGAAACTTTCAGCAGGAGCCGCTGCGCTGCTGAATCCGGCACCCACCCCACCAATTCAAGCCCGTCTTCCACGGGGCATTTGAGTTGGCCAGTCCTTCCCCCCCCCCTCCAAGCACTGCCAGAGCCCCCACACCACCCTCTCTCTCTTCCCGGGCGCAGCGCCTACCCGTCTGGCTTTCCAATTCGCTGTAATTGGGCTTCTTGCTGGCCGAAAAGTGTTTCTTGACGAGGAAGGATCGCGGCATCTTTCTGGCGGCGACGCGGCTCCGATCCAGGCTACTGCGGGAAGAGAACTGCAGTCGCGGCCGCTCGCCTCTTCTTCTTCTTCTTCTTCTCCTTTCCCAAATAAACCCGGATCCTCCCTCCGCCACTCGCCAGGCCGCTGCGATGTAAGCAAGTGGAGCGGCTCAGCCACGAGCTAATATGGGCCGAGCGGCAGGTGGGCGAGGCCGACCCGCCCCCCCCCCTCCGTGTCACTTGGCAGCCAATCGACAAAGGCGGGGAGGGGTCCAGCTGCGAGCCTCTTCCAGCAGGTGCTCCGCAAACAAAACCCACCGGCGAGGTTGACGGCTCGTCTGAGCGGCCAGACCTCTCGCCAATGCTGGGGGGGGGGGGGGGGGAAGCCAGGCCTGGAGATCTGGCCACGTAACTTTCACTCTGGGGTGGGATTAAAAACCTGTCTGTGGGTCGGCTCGGCTCAGGAAAGTGGGAGCAACTTTGCTTGAAGAGCAGATCTGTCCTCGGCGGCTGTGTCTGTGTGTCTGTGTGTGTGTGTGTCTGTGTGCGTGCGTGTCAGGATCAGCGTTGAGTATTCCATTCCCCTCCCCCGCGAAGTCCACCACACGTGTCAACCATTCCTGTCTGAGCGACTGCGTTCACGTGTCCATTCCGCGGTCGATGTTTTCTTTTGGAATGAAGCCCGCTCAGTTCAACGAACGAGGTTCCCCTAATGGAAACACGTGGAGCGTTTGCAGCTTTTCTCAGCCCGGCGCTTTCAACTGTGTTTGGACTATCCCTCCCATCATCCCCACCCCTTGCCTTAGGTCTGTGCCGCCTCTTCCCGTCCCGACGCACAACGCTTGCAGTGTTAGGAAAAAACTAAGAGTACAAAGGAATCAACCCCCCCCCCCAAGCCTACATCCGCTCGTGTCTCCTGGGAGGCCCCGTCCCATGATCGCCACCCTTATTTCGGGAGCCTCCGGAGCGGGGGGGGGGGGAAGGAGGGGGGGAACAGAAGGAACAAAGGTGCGACCTTTCCCGACGCGTTTTCGGGGGGGAATGGAAGCAGTGGGTCCCGACCTCCCCCTTCTCCAAGCTAAGAAAAGAGGTCTTTCACATGCGGGGTCAGCATTTATTTCCAAAGGAGGAGGAAAGCGAAGCCAAATCGATTCCGTAGAGGGGAAATGACGACGCGCCACCCCGATTTCTTCAATAAAAATTTAAAAAAAAAGCGATCCCGCAAGCACGTGCCGCGGTTGTCCGAAACGGGAACCGCCCGCCGACCATCTTCTTGCAGGGGAAATCCGCAAAGCCTTTACACCCTCTCGACATCTTCCTCATTTCTCCCACCGACCCCCCCCGCCTCCCATCCTCCCGGGCCATAACGGTCTTCCGCGCCAGCCCTCGCGAGTTTTTCCTCTCCGGTCGGGGTTGAGGACAGGCGCGGAGTTCCTGAGGCGGCAGGACGAGCGGATGGATCCACGCGAGGTTGTTGTTGTTGTTGCCCGCCTGTCCGCAACCCGCACCTGCTTTGGAACTGAACTGGAGAAAGGTCGGTTCTTGGTGAACAGAAAGTAAGGGCCGTGGGGACCTGAGTTCTCACGGCTGGTTATTCAACAGGTGGTGCTGGCCCTTGCAACCTAAGTTGATGTCTAAATCCAGCCACAGTACCTAAACCGGCTCCCTTGTTCCAGCTAGGTCAGGGGTAGGCAACCTTGGCTCTTTTATGACTCGTGGACTTCAACTCCCAGAATTCCTGAGCCAGCATAGCTGGCTCAGGAATTCTGGGAGTTGAAGTCCACGAGTCATAAAAGAGCCAAGGTTGCCTACCCCCGAGCTAGGTTCTCGCCTGATGTATATTGGGAAGTCTGACACATGGTTCCTAAACCAGTGGGGCACAGAATATTGGGAAGTCTGACACTTCTGTGGGCACCAGGTTGGGAAAACCCGAAAAAAAAATGCTTGCCTTTTTCTAGGAAACATTATATAATGATTGGTGAGTTTGGGGGGTTTATTACAGGATCAACTGTTGGGATACAGAAATTAAACTACACATATAGAGATGATTTAATGGCTTATTATATATACGAATGAGGCACCAGGAACGAATGAGATTATGTATATTATTATATATACGAATGAGAAAAGGAAGCCTTGCAGTACTGTTAGAATGTCTTCATTTGGCTCTCCACAAGGCCATGAGCGCCCTCTCCAGGACTCCTTCAGCCAAGCCCCCAAATCATTGTCAGAAGCGAAACATTCAGCAGAATTAACACTTTTTTATATTAAGCCCACCAGATACCTAAAGTAGGACTACAGCCTCAATCGGTTTGCTTTGGACTTCTAATGAAATCAACTTTAATACACTTAATGTTGGCCAATTTTGTCCTGGATTTGTTACTTGGTAAGAACTGATTGCTTACGCCATAAAAACCAATCATTCTTTCCCTAATTGTAGTATGCAGAAGACTTCACATTAAACCTTTATCCTAATGTGTACTTCCTGTTCAGGGTTGTTCAAGTTGATATTGTGGATACACTGATTTAGATTCTTGGTGACCAAATGGTCTTTTCCACCTCTAACATTCCATGATCAGCCAGGTATTGAAATTGTTTCCCTATCTCCCTTTGTCCTGCGGTATCAGGGAAGATAGTTATTAAAATGACAATGGAGGGAGGGGGAACTGGAGGTCAGTTTGACAAGGAGGCTTATGTTAAATAACCCTAGTTGCAAAATTCAGTTTGTACCCTGTGACTTTAAACAAACCAAGATATGCAATGAAATGCAAAGTTCTCAAATTATGCTATTGATAAGCAGGCCAAATAACCTGCTCAGACAAGTGAAATACAGTTTTAGTAATTGCCAGCTACCCTTATCATATAAGATCTCAGAAGGGGAAAAAGGATTAGACAAATTAAGATTGAGATCACCTAGAAAGGTGTAAATGGCTTGTGCAAATTAAGGGACTGCTATTGTTAACAGAACATAAGGTCTAATTAGATTATTTTAAATGCAATTAACTAACAAATTTGTAAATGGATGGTGCCCACCTGAGAAGCTGCAACAGTACCGTATTACTTAGAAGGGGAATGGTAGATATAATTATTTTCATCTAAACGAAGGAAAATTCCTCTGAATCCTTCAAGACATTCACAATTAGATCCTTTAAGAATATAGTTATATATAGTTCATAATTCTTTGGATGTAAGTTTTTGGACTCAGTCCTATACATGTTTACAAGTTGATAAATCCTATTGAATACACATGGATAAGATTGCATGGGGAAACACCTATCACAGTCTTTCATTTAATAAACTAAGCATATTTGCATATATCAAACTTTCAATATGGGTGATGCATATTGAGACATTAAAATGATGAAAGTGAGAGGCAGTTTAGTTTAATGAATAATGCTGGTAGGTAGGTCTATTAAAATAAAAAGGGAAACAGCAATAATGATACAAGACCTTTATTAAACTATTCTATGTGGAACTAGAAAGGTTTTTGACTTCATCAAAAATATTAATCAGAATCGGTACAAAGCAAAAGAGACCAACATTAGTTATTGCATCCAAAACTGGAAAACACAAACCTGCATCTTATTATAACTCGTGGCCTGGTTCACATGTCACACACTAAACCATAATGTGACTTACTTAGCCTGCTGCATGCAGAATTTGATTATGACTTATTAAATCATGGTTAAGCAAAAGATTGTCAACAGGGTTTACTCTCAAGAAAGGAAGCAACAAATGCTTCCTAAACAAAATTTCTACCATAGAAGAAACGTATGGGGTTTTTTTTTTTCCATTGTAGGTGCACAGAATTAACATACTACTAAAATAAATTTGGGTTTTCACATTAATCAAAGAAATACTAGAGACAATTCGAATGTTAATTAAACCTATTATTGACACTACCCTGCTCAAAAACAAGAAAAAGCAAAGAACAATAAAATGAAAGCAAAGCATCTTTAGACCGGTGGTAAAATGTTAGGGCTGACCTCATGCTTAGGCTAATGAAAGAATGTGGACAAAACTGCTCCTTGATAAATTCTATAGTTCCAAGGCTATGTTTGTAACAATGTGCTCAGTTAACTCCCACCTAAGTAAACACTCAATTCAACCTTTCAAAGGCAAAACCTGTGTCCATTGACAGAAGCAAGGGACTCTTTTCAAACAAGAGAGGGCAAGGCAATGTCACCATAGTGGTAACTCCCTATTGTGCTAAAGTGTTCCAAAAATGAATACAATTAGGAGTAGTTAAAGGTGGGTTTACATTACTCAGACAATGGTTGCTGGTCATAAAGTGAGATAGCTATTGACTGAAAGACTTGGGCTGTGTTGATTCACTTAAACTGATTAAACTCAAGTACAAGGGAATTTATGGGGGATGGGGGGGGGATTTGGAGACCGAGTTCTAATTTAACTCGTGAAGAAAAAAAAAAGTTGTACAAGCTCCCACTTTCCACATGGTGTTAATGTCCCTTGAATAAGTTCTCTACAAGACTAATTTGGGGGAGGAGAAGTGAAAAAGGAGCACCCATGGTTTCATCAAAGAAGATTGTGTACCTTCAGATTGTGTATGTGTGAGAGAGAGAGACATAGTCACGAGCAAGTAAGCAGCTCAGGTGATCTGCTCACCTTGGTCTGGTGATTCAGGAAAATTCTGATCGTGTAATGATAACATCATTGTAAAGGGACCTGCTGGAAGAAAGAGTGCAGCCACAGCGTGATCATGTGCCCTGAACTGCATTATCCACCTGTAATCCAATCAAAGTCATCAAGGAAGAAAAAAGAATGGAATTTTATCACTTAAGCTTGCACAACAGTATGTTTTTCCATTTTGTTTTCATGTTTTAATGGGTTAGATTGGATGCACATGTTGATAGAGTATTCTCAAAACTATAATAAAAATTTGAATGAAAGTCAGATTTTAAAAAAAGACTTCAGAAAGTCTGACTTCAAATTCTCTGTAATTGAAGGTAATGTAAGGACCCATGAATTCAATCCAGGGGATTAGTTTATGGGTCACGGTTAAATGCCTTAGACCCCATTTGTACTCATGACTTGTAGGTTAGGTTATTTATT